AGGTTGGGACCGAGGATTCCACGAAATGGATGTTAGAGAGCGTCGAGATAGATCCAAGTATTGGTGGCTCGGCCGTAAAACAACCGGAAAACATAATCAAGAACAATAATCCCGAGACTAGTACTGCCGGTGGTAGTGGTGGTGGTGGGATCTTGAGGAATATGTCTAAGAATCTCGGGGTTGGATCAGTAATCAGGTCGATGAGTGTGTCGAAATGGAGAAAGAGCGGTAATATTGGATCCGCGAGCACAAGGAAGAGCGGAAATTTGGGGACTCCTCTACCTGTGGCCCAAGTAAAAAGACCAGGGCCACAAAGAGTTGAGAGGACAACATCTAGTGCGGCTAGGGGACTACAAAGCCTCCGGTTCCTTGATCGGACGGTCACAGGACGCGAACGAGATTCATGGAGATCTATCGAGAACCGGTTTAATCAATTCGCCGTTGATGGGAGACTTCCCAAGGAAAAATTTGGCGTTTGCATTGGTACGTACGTAAAAACCATGATTAATCTATTTTTGTCTAGTCTTAAAAAATAACGTTATACATTTTTGTTAGTAATAGTATTGTTATGTATTAGGAATGGGAGATACAATGGAGTTTGCAGCAGAAGTATACGAAGCATTGGGTAGGAGAAGACACATAAACACAGAAAATGGGATTGACAAGGAACAACTCAAGCTTTTTTGGGAAGACATGATCAAGAAAGATCTAGACTGTCGCCTCCAGATCTTCTTCGACATGTAAACACTCTTTTACAATGTTTGGTTTTGATTTTAAAAACTTATAGCAATAAAATGTTAACAATCGCGGTTTAGGTGTGACAAGGACGGAGACGGGAAGTTAACAGAAGATGAGGTTAAAGAAGTTATAGTCTTGAGTGCATCCGCGAACAAGCTCGTGAATCTTAAGAAGAACGCAGCGTCTTATGCTTCTTTGATCATGGAAGAACTCGACCCTGACCAAAACGGTTACATTGAGGTTTCATCTTGTTTCCATTTCCATAATTCTCTACTAAATATTATAGTGAGACCATGTGAAACTAGCTTTCATAATACTATATAGTATTATGAGTTTTTTTTGCGTAAACCATAATTTGCGTTGCATATATGTTATGTAGCATTTTTGTTGTTGTTGTTGTTATAAATATCTTTTATGTTGTATACTCTGACATTTATTTAGTTTACATCGACCAGATGTGGCAACTCGAGGTGTTATTAACCGGAATGGTGTCAAACACTGACTCACATAAGATCGTGAGGAATTCGCAGCAGCTAACTAAAGCCATGATCCCAAAACGTTACAGAACTTCGACTAGCAAATACGTTGTAGTAACCGCAGAGCTAATGTACGAGCACTGGAAGAAGATTTGGGTCGTTACATTGTGGCTCGCAGTAAACGCCTGCCTCTTCACATGGAAATACAAAGAGTTCACCAAAAGCCCTCTTTACAACATCACCGGCCGTTGCGTTTGCGCCGCGAAAGGAACGGCCGAAGTACTAAAACTAAACATGGCTTTGATCTTGGTCCCTGTTTTAAGAAGAACCCTAACGTTCCTTAGATCCACTTTCTTGAGCCATTTGATTCCGTTCGACGATAACATCAACTTCCACAAGCTGATAGCGTTGGCGATAGCGGTTATTTCCTTGCTACACACGGCACTACACATGCTTTGCAACTACCCTAGGCTAAGCACTTGCCCTCACGGTTTGTATTCGGAATACGCGGGAAATATCGTGGGTTTCAAGCAACCGACCTATTTAGGTCTAATGCTGACCCCGGTTTCGGTCACAGGAGTTCTTATGATCATCGTTATGGGTATCTCGTTCACACTTGCTATGCATTACTTCAGAAGGAACATAGTGAAATTGCCTATACCGTTTAACCGTCTAGCTGGATTTAATTCGTTTTGGTATGCTCATCATTTGCTGGTTATTGCTTATGCTCTTCTCATCATCCATGGTTACATTCTTATCATCGAGAAGCCTTGGTATCAAAAGACGGTAAGTTTATACATTTGAATATACTAAAATTAATGTATTGATTAAACTTTAGAGTACTCTTTTTTTCTTACAAATATTTTTGTTGTGTATATGGATTACTAAAGACATGGATGTATGTGGCCGTACCAATGGTGTTGTATGCGAGCGAGAGGCTCTTCTCACGAGTTCAAGAACATAATCATCGTGTCAATATTATCAAGGTAATAATTAAGATTCTTATATATATGAAATGTAATAATAACAATTTGATTGTGTTTTCTTTTCTTGTGAATTGTTTTTGCTTAGGCAATTGTATATTCAGGCAATGTTCTTGCACTCTATATGACAAAACCTCAAGGGTTCAAGTACAAAAGTGGTATGTACATGTTTGTCAAGTGCCCTGATATCTCCAAATTTGAATGGTAATAACATCTTTCTCGACAAAAGATCTAACCAATTGCTATATAACTTACCAAAATAAATATTATATTTTGATCATTGTAAATATTTAGGGATTGTCATATTGATTTTGTGGTTTAGGCATCCATTCTCCATCACTTCTGCACCCGGAGATGAATATTTGAGCGTTCATATAAGAGCATTAGGAGATTGGACATCTGAACTTAGGAACAGATTTGCCGAGGTAATTCTCTTAATTTGTCTTTTTTTCTTACATAATTTTTATTATCACATTCAATATATACTTGTCTTAACCAAAATCAAGAAACCAAATTTGATATTATATATTATTCTTTTCCCTTGTAGACATGCCAGCCTAATCAATCAACAAAACCTAGTCCAAATAATCTTATTAGAATGGAAACAAGAGCGAGAGGTGCAAATCCTCTCGTTGAAGAATCACAAATCTTGTAAGTGAAAATCTCTACTACGCGATCGATCATCGATATTCTTACATGATGTTGAATCTGGTCTCATCTGATCCATAACTTCACAACTAGATTTCCAAGAATTTTTATCAAGGGACCATACGGGGCTCCCGCACAAAACTATCAGAAGTTCGATATTCTTTTGTTAATTGGGCTAGGGATCGGTGCGACCCCATTTATAAGTATCCTAAAAGACATGTTGAACAATCTCAAACCTGTTATTCCAAAAGCCGTAAGTGATCTTTATTTGTAGTAAAACTTGAAGAAACAAGACTATATGGGAAAAAAAAGTAATGGAGTGTGAAAATGTAGGGGCAAAAGTATGAAGGAAGTGTAGGAGGTGAAAGCGTAGGAGGTGAAAGTGTAGGAGGAGCTAGCGTAAGTGGAGTTAAGAAGTTTCCACAAAGAGCATATTTTTATTGGGTGACAAGAGAGCAAGCTTCTTTCGAATGGTTCAAAGGAGTTATGGATGACATCGCCGTGTATGACAAAACCGTAAGTTTGAGAAAACTTAACGATGTTTCTATTTGCAATTCAACATATAGACTATGTATCTTAATGTTTAATTAATTTGGCAGAACGTGATAGAGATGCATAACTACTTAACAAGTATGTACGAAGCAGGAGATGCAAGATCTGCTCTAATCGCTATGGTCCAGAAACTTCAACATGCCAAAAACGGTGTTGACATTGTCTCCGAGAGCCGAGTACGTTCAATTTCTTGTTATTTCATTTACCTTAGTTATATTTCTCTCATCGTTCTTTAAAATTATATATATATTTTCTAATGTTCTTGATTCAGATACGAACACATTTTGCAAGACCTAATTGGAGGAAAGTTTTTTCTGAATTGTCTAGCAAGCATGAAACTTCTCGCATAGGTAACTTTTGTTAGCTTAAAACATTCTTTTAATTAAGTTTGGTAGCAAAATGTTTTGAGTGTCTCGTTCATATTTGAATATTATTTTTGTAATGTTTTTTATTTGAGATGATCTCTTAATTAATTTATATATGGTTTTGATTTCAGGTGTGTTCTATTGTGGAAGTCCAACGCTTGTTCGAACGTTAAATTCACTTTGTCAAGAGTTCAGTCTTGAGTCGTCCACTCGATTTACTTTCCACAAAGAGAATTTCTGAATTATTAAAATTTTTTCTTTCCGTAAAAATTGTTATTACATGAAACAACAAATTCTGAGTTTTGTTATCTCACTTAGATTTAAGGACAGTTTTTGTAGTTAGGTAATGGTGATGTATTGTCACGTTCCGAAAGATAGATCTCAAAATAGAATTTTATCAAATAACATCAACTCAAAAATATTTATATTGTGGAAGTATTTTTGTATAAAATAAATTAGTGATGATATTTTTGAAACAAAAAAAAAACTCATTTTAGTGGGATTTTGGAAATTACCCTTAATAACTTCAATTATTATTTTGAACTTCAATATATATTGTTTGTTGGTTAATATTCTCATGTTAAATGAATTTAAAATGCATGTTGAGGGCGGACCCAGCCCAAAAATTAAGTGGGTGCAAAGTGACACTATCACAGTTAATGACTAATGCTTAAACCAAATTTTTAATATTAAGATAACCTTAGGAGTAAAATTAAGAAAGTTTAAATATACATAAATATGTTATATGTCTATAATTTATATATTTAAAAAATTAACTCATTAGATATATTCTTAATTGTTTGGAGGTTTCCTTGTTCGAACAGGGCATTGTTTACTAGTTAGTTATCGATAAGTAAGAAAAAATTAACACAAACATATATATATATTCGAAATTACGTGTGAATATTAAACAAACATATATTTTTAAAACAAACAAACATATATATTTAAAACAAACAAACAGATATATTCGAAATTACTACAAAATGGAAATATTTTAAATTGTGTAAGTTAATAAATATTTCAAAAAAGTAAGAAAAATGTTGTAAAATATCTCTAAGAATTAAAATATTCCCATTTTTCTTAGAGGAAATTAGGAAATTAGGAAAAAAAAGGAAAATTTATCGTTGACCAAAGTCAACTCCAAATCCTGAGAGGAAACGTTCCAAAAAAAAAAAGCATAAAAGGCAAATCTTCTTCTCTCGTCTCTGTATTCAGAGAAAGAGCAAAGAGAAGTTATGGAAGAGATGATGAGATCTGAACTTGTTTCCATGTCTAGTTACTGCCGTCGCTATGGTCATCTCAAGCTCCACGATTTCTCGAACCCGTCTTTCAAAAAGACTAAATATTCACCAACGAAGGTCTTTGTGGTTTCTTCTTCATCAAGCAACTCCACCTCTCCTCCTCCTCTTCCTCAAAACCCTATTTTCCAATCATTCTTCTTCCCCGTTACACCATCTCCGATCATTCCTTATCTACAACATTGTTCCAGGAACACTAAAAAAAGGAAATTTACACCGTCGAGTAGCAGTGGCAGTGTCAAAGTTATAAGCAGAGAAGCTTTCAACGCCGCCGTTAAGAAACCTTCCGTAGCCGTTAAGAAACCTACCGTAGCCGTTAAGAAACCTACCGTAGCCGTTAAGAAACCTATCGTCGACGTTAATAAACCTACCGTCGCCGTAACCCACGACAGAGGAGTGAGAAAGTCTTCGTCTTGGGTTAAATCTAGGTTACTTGGAAAAGGGGGTTACGGTTCTGTATACCTAGCGACGAGTAAAGACGGCAGATACAAAACAGAGAGAGCGATCAAAACTGCAGAGCTTTCACGTGCGTCGAGTCTCATGGACGAACGAAGGATCCTAAAGCGTTTGAAATCTCCCTTCGTGATCTACTGTTACGGCGACGAGATTGTACGCGAAGGGACGAGTGATTGTTACAACTTGATACTCGAGTATTGCTCTGGCCAATGTCTTGCGGATGTGATTGAAGATAATCAAGGAGGGTTGTCGGAGTTTGATGTGAAGCTATACGCTAAGGATGTTTTGTCTGGTCTAAGTTACATTCACGACAGGAACATTGTTCACTGCGACATTAAACCGGACAATCTCTTACTCACCCCTGTTGATCACCGGTTTAGGTCTAATGGGTTTTTGACAAAGATTGGGGATTTTGGTTTAGCTATGGAGAAAGGTTCAGTGGAGTATGGAAACGGATGTGGTCATAAGAGAGGTACGACAAGGTACATGGCTCCGGAGCTTATAGGTCATGGGGTTATAGACTTTGCTGTGGATATTTGGGCGTTTGGTTGTTCGGTTCTAGAGATGCTAACGGGAGTACAAGTTTGGGGAGAGCATGGTGATCTCGTTTATGACGATTGGGTCAGTCTAATTGGTCATAGTGATCTCATTCCGAACATACCGAGTTGGTTATCTGAAGAAGCAAAAGACTTTCTGAAGAGGTGTTTCGTCAAGGAGCCTAATGCAAGGTGGGGGATCAACGAACTCCTCAACCATCCTTTCCTCAGTTCGAATCAAGTTTTCTCTCATAATGGTTTTATATATGAATGATTTTGTTTTTGGTTGAAGTTTAAGTTTTAAACTTTCAACATTGTGTTCTGTTTTTCTTTTTAGGATTGGTAAATGAAATTTTGTAGTGAATTGGTAAAGTTTTCTAGTTGATAGATTCATGTTGAGTTCTGATTCATGTTTACAGTTGCAGAATCAAGTCTATGTATATTTTTGCAAAAAGAGTATTAACAATTCTGTGTATGGTTTACAGTTTACTACAAATATAAAAAGCCTTTGTTGAAACAAAAGATTTGCAAGAGTCTCATTAGAATGTAATCTGTATATAAGATGCATCAGGTGGCTCAAACCATGACCAACTTGAAATGTTCTATGAATATTTGGACAGTTTTAGTTCATCTCCTTTGCTCATAAACGGATCATAAGCACTTCATCAGAATCACCTGTTTCTGTCTCAACGACAATGTCAGTATCCACCAGAATCAAATTCATTATATAAGAGAGAGAACTTAATCAATTCATTGTTCATATATAGAACATACCTTATTAAGCAAGGCACAGACTTTAATGACAATTTCACCAACCACAGTCTTGAGCTCATCGGAATACATCAAGACCACAGTCTCTACTATACACATACACACCCACATCATCACACTCACTCACCATTTGAGAATGAGAGACTCCAGTCTCTCTTCGAGACTTCATATTTTCTCTGAAAAACTTCTTCTCTGATAAGACCTTCTTGTGCACATCCATGATTACTCTGTACCCATCTCTGCCTACAAAACTCAGCTTCACGTCTCCATGTTACCGTTCTTGAAATCTGTCAAGAACTCCCAGGCTGGTCTTATTGGCCTCTTCTCGAGTTCTCGTATAGTGGTTCTTTTAGATGTCTTTTTAGCAAATCATGACTAGATTATGAAAAAGTAAGATTTTTGTTTGATGTAATTAGCAAAATTATCACAATAAATAACAAACAGTAACATATGCAAAACTTGATTACTTTTATTGACAAGTAAAAAAAAAATGTTCTTAAGAAAATCACACAAATTATTAGAAACACTTTGGGAATAAAAACAAATATAAGGATGAATCTTAAGATGAACAAAAAAAAAATCTTGTTTGAAGGTTTGGAAGATCAAAGAGTTTCAAACGATTCTTGAAAACTGAGTAAAAGAAAACAAGAAACATGTAATTCAAATCTCAAAAAACATTTGTTTGAAGATCTTCCAGGTCAGGATTCACAACATCATCTTTGTTTTCAGCTTCGCTTGAAAATATCGGTGCCTCAAGCTCTGGAGGGTTCTGCAGATCAAAACATAACTCATAAAAAGATTGTTTCTTCTTTCGCAAGTAAAGCATGTTTCTTCTATACCAAGTTACTTACGGTGCATCGAATCAGAGCCCAATTTATGCCTTTGAAGAAACAATGTTTCTTGACTTCATTTGCTCCTTCAAAACAACCTAATCTTTTCTTCGGATCTCGTTGTAATAGCCTAAAGATCAGCTGTTTCACTTGAAGACTTGCCTGCATGCATACCAATACCAAAACAATCAAACATAATCTTGGATTTATAGATAGTTGATATAAGAATAGAGATTGAGATCTATGTTACAGGAATGCTAGCTGGGAACTTTAGATCTTTTTGAAGAACATTGGTGAAAGTCTTCTGTCTTGTTTTGCCTCTAAATGGAGTGTATCCATATAACATTTCATACATAAGGATACCAAGAGCCCACCAGTCCACTGCACTTGTATGTCCTGCCCCGGATATAATTTCCTATCATTATGAGACATCAGTAACCGGTTAAGTAAGATAGAGAGTGAATACCTTAAGCTGGTATGTATAAATATACTAACCGGAGCAATATACTCTTCAGTGCCAACAAATGAGTTTGATGCACGCATTGGTTCAGCCATGAAGATTGGAGTTTGTTGACTCTTTTGGTGCTTTTTCTTCTTCTTCTCGTCTATACTCGGAATCAACAGCTGCAAGATTCAGTATTAATGGCCTTAATTAGTATACATAAGCAAACTCTCTAGCAGAAGTTTTTGTAAAGAAGAATATTCTTAGGAGTAGAAGGTTGAGAGAAATTAAACCTGAGGTTTGCAAGATGTCAAGCAAGACAGATCGAAGTCGGATAAGGAGATATCGCCATTGCCTTGGATTAACACGTTTTCGGGTTTCAAGTCTCGGTAAATTATTCCTGAGTTTAAAGAAAAAGTTACAAAGATCAACTTAGTATCATGTCAGAATCATTCGTTTGCATCCATTTGTTTTCGTAATTGAAGAGAATGATCAGGTCTAATGGCTTGCCTTGACAGTGAAGATACTCAAGTGCAACAACAACTTGAGCAGCATAGAATCTGAAAATTCGTTCAGGTTTTGAGTTAAGTTCAAGATTTTAAAGTAAAAATAATCAAATCTTGAGATTATTTCGAGCTAGGAACACTTGTACCTTACGGCATCTTCCTTAAGGACCTTCCTAGGTTGTCGATCAAGAAGCATAAAGAGTTCTCCTCCTGGATAGTAATCTGTAATAAGACATATATGTGTTTTTGTCTGCACAGTAAAACATGAACCGTTAGTAACCTTAGACTAAGACACACATATACATATGTGTGCACACAGATCTTGAGTCGACCTGAAATGAAGCGTAGAGGGCTGGAAGAAAAGGATGGTCAAGCAAATCTAGGATCTCCCTCTCAGCTCTAGCTCTATGAACCTGCCAAAATATGTTATTATTTGCTACTTATAAAGCAGAAACAAGAATATAGGTTTGTGATTTGTTTTGTTGTAGTAATTACTTTGTTACGGTTAAGCATAACAGCCTTGTCCATTGCTTTCATCGCAAACAACTGATCTGTTCCAATGAGTTCCACTAGATGCACACTGATAAAAACACAAATGGGACATTTATAAGGTTGATGACAAAAACCTTTGTTGTAAACTTCACTAGATGAGAGTTTCAGACCTTCCTGTATCACCAGAACCCAAAGGTTTCACTGGTTTGAAATGCTTCAGACCAATCGGTTCACCGCTTTCCAATACCTTTTCGATAGCTTTCCATGGTGGCGAATCTTTCCTGTGAGGCTTAGAATGAACCATCTTGGAGTGGTTTGCCCATAAATCCTCTGGCGTCTTCAAACAAGACACAACCAAAAACATTCAATCAAATATATCTTCATAAACCATTATCTATAAAATTCTTGTATTCAGATCATTAACTTACCATGTTGGCATCAGGAAGTTCTCGTACCGCTTCATCGATATTTACAGCAGCTTTTTTCACCTATAGAGTTCAGATTCAGGTATAACTCTTGGTTTTATATCAAATGATTACAATCAAAATCAAGATTTTGAAAGTTTAGGGTTCCAAACCAGCTCTTCTCCCTCTTTCACTGCGGTTTCTTCTATGACATTGCGGACTGGCTCTACGTGCTTGCTCCCATCTAGTTGGACTCCGATAAAGTATTGTACTTCTCCCTGTCAAAAAATATCAAAGTATACTCATCTTCAGTGGTCAATTCATAGGTCAAAAATCCTTAGGGTTAATTGGAAAGTGCCGTATTATGCACGGTATTTATTTAAAACATTATAGTACCTTCTGATCACGCATAGGTTGCAAGTGGAAAATGTTCCAAAACTTCTTTCCTGAAACAGAGAATATAATGTATAATGTAAGAGACTCAATACATCGATCGTCAGATCAATATGTAGGTCTATCGAAAAAGTGAGTACCGCTCTTAGTGTAGTTGATGAGCTGAACCGTAACTTCAGTTTGGTTGTCAATAGCATTTCGAATCTTCTTTACCGTCGTTGGATCAGTCTCTGGACCTTGTAGAAACCTAAAAACCATGAACCAATAAAAAGAGATTAAAGACGTTCTCTAATCTCAGATCTTTGCATAAGAATCCTGAGTTCATAATTCACAAATACCTGCAGTTTCTACCAAGAATTTCTTCACGGCTATATTCCGTGAGCTCCAAGAAACTATCAGATGCAAAGATCTAGAAACAGAGGACAAAGCAAACAAAACATTTTCAGACCAATCTAAATGAAACATAACAATTCTTCTCTATGTTTTCAAATATGTGTTCTTACAATGGGGTTATCGGGAAGCCTAGGATCAGTAATGACGAAGTTCTTCTCGATACGTTCAAGTGTAGTAGCAAGATCCATACCCTTTCTCATTTCCTTTTGTCTCACTTTATCATCCACACTCTCTGGTCTCTCGTCTCTATCACTAATCTCATCGTCTTCTTCTCCATACTCTATAAAGCCATCGTCCATAGATTCATCCAAAGATTCGCTCTTTTTCTTGATCCTATAACACAAGAGGTCACAATTAGGTCAAAGAATGATTAAGTAAGGATTAGAGCTGATCAAGATTTTGAGTTATTGCTAATTAATTACCCCATGAAGGAAAGAGAAGATTTTCTCGACTTTTTCTCGGGGATTTCGTTGATTCGCTGCATCGAGTTCCTTCTCCCCCCGCCAGAGTTTCTTCGGCCTGAAGGAACGACATTCTCGGACATTCGCCGAGCAGGTTTAGCCGGTAGTTCATCGCTTTCCGATTTTGTCATGAAAGGATGGTAATTCGCCGATTCGCTTAGTGCTCGAGGTCTCTTCACAGCCTCCACTAGCTCTGTCACTGAGTTTGTAGCCATATCTTTTTGGCGGGCTATTACAAAAACAAAATTTGAAAACTACTTTAGTAAGCATTACAAAAATGTATAAACAGACTAAAAAGTGTATAAAAAAGAATATTATAAGTTACCATCATATCGAATAAGAGATTCAGGAAGCCCATTGGGCCTCAAAGTCTTTTCTTTGGCCCCTTCAGTGTGTTTGCTCACCTCCACTTGCATTCTGGTCCAAATATAAACAAACAAAACATATTTGTATCTTCTTATTACACAAAACATAATTTGATCTTAGGTTCTACAATTCATCTACATTAATTACTTAAAGTTGAGCTTTGTTTTTAATTCAATAAAAAATCCAAAACTCCATTTTTTAGTTTGTAGAAATGTT